GATACGTTCAAAATAAATCCGGAAATTGATAAATTGAGTAATTCTAAGCAACTTTTGTTGTATAGAGTTTTTTCACTAAGTCAATAGTATTAGAGTTATTTGCGAGTGAAAATGTTCATTTTTCAACAAAAAAACCACGTCTTCAGACGGTTTTTCGCAAACAACTCTAAAAGTAAGCATTGTATCGAAAAAAGTATTCTTAGCAAAAATATAGCTTATAAACAGACAAACAAAATGGTCTATATATGAAGTCTGTAGACCCAGTAGAAACAAAGTTGTAGCTCATGAAAAGTAGGTTCTCATTCGTCAAATTCCAAATCGAGTAGGTACTTCAACGTGAAATAACCAAAAAATGAAGCACTTTTCGGGGAAAACTTATGAATACTTTTTTAAAGTGTTTGAAAAAACCTTTCATTTTGTTTTGAAGGAAAGTTCCTAGCATCAAAACTAAGTGAGTTACGCTCAAAATAAAGTTGGTTCTTTTTTTTTGGTAAAAAAAATTGAGGAAATCACCCCCTAATTAGCACCCTAATTGTAATTAAGCGTTACCGCTTTACAGTTTACTTTATTTATGTATGGTTGATATGATCTGTAAGTTTGACCGGAGCAAAAGTGGTTAGTTTTGAAAAAAATTAAGTTTTGAAGTAAAAAAAATTTTGAAATTTTGAACGTATCTTTTTTCACCCCCGAGAAGGGGCGGCATTCACCCCCCAAGTAAAAGCAACCCTGGGCTCAAAGTTCAACTTTGAAGTGGAGGGTAAGTAGAACCCGAGGTAGAACCTAAATCCAAATTTTCATGCGATTCGGTGGAGACGCGGAAAATTACACAGTATCGCCGTATTCCACGTTCATTTACTGGCCTAAATCTTTAAACAAAAAGGACGAATTTGACCCCCTTGTATCGCTTTTGGGTAGTGAATGCCGATTTTCTTTTGAAGCACTAGAGAATAGAATAGAAATAAGCAATTTAGAAATTGAAACCTTTTTTGTGGGAGAGGCAATTGAATTTTCTAATCTGGAAGGGCGAATTTCACCCTCATACGCGTCGCTGACTGAGTTGTGAACAGTAAATAAATCTTTAAAAAAAGACGAATTTCATCCCCTTATACTTGCTTAGTGAATGCCAATACTGTTTTGAGGCACTAAAGATTAATGGTAACCCTGAAAGCAATTAAAAAATTGAAGCTTTTTTTTGTGGGATCGGTAGGTAATTGAATTTGTTTAAATTGCAAAGGCGAATTTCACCCCTTACACGGTCGTTGATGACTGAATTTGTGCATAGTAAGTACATCTTCAAACGAAAATGACAAATTTCGTCCCCTTATAGGTACGGTCGGTGCGCGACGCTTCGTCGGGGCGCATTTCGGTGGCGGGACCAGGGTGCACCTGGCGATCGCTCACTGAATTTGTGGGTTGTAAATAAATCTTTAACCAAAAAGGACAAATTTCACCCCCATACGGTTGCTAAGTGAATGCCAATTTATGTTGCAGCACTAGAGAGTAGGTATAGCCATAACTCTCTGAAAGCAATCAAAAATTGAAACCATTTTTGTGCGAGTGGTAAATGAATTTGCTGATGGGGAGGAACCGGAAGTGCGGGTTTTATCCCCTTAGACTTTTTGCGAAAAAAAATCCTCATTTGCGTTCCAATTTTATTTTTGTTCACGCACCGTAAGATATGAGACGTTTTACCCTTGCAGGCTCCGTAATTATTTAGGTACAAATTTCAAAAGTAAGCAGCGAACTCAAAAATTTGAAATTTTTTGCAAAATAATTCAACATAACTTTACATGTCAGAAAAATATGCGATTATTTTGAATTTCACTTCGCAAAGGCAACAAGTGTTGATGACGTGGCAGCGTTTGCGTTATCTTTAACACATGTAGTGCAGGTAACAACAGCAGGTTCAGGTTTCTAATTAATAATATTCGAATTGAAAACATTGGGAACATTTTTTCACAATGAATGTTAATTTCTGGGACCTAAGTCACCGATTTGCTGATGGTAGATAGATATACAAATTGGTTTAATTTAATTACCCTGACTATTACATTGAGTCATAATTAAAAACTCACCCCTAAGCCTTATCAATTAATTCCTTCCAAGGGTACAACCATTAAAAATTCCCAATGAAAGGATACGATGCACCTGCACTTCACTACCGCACTGTTCGAAATTTGGACCAATACTGCCTATCGGGAATTTTGAGGTAGACGCGTTAAAAAGTCTGCGGATTTGATAAGCACCTTACCGGCTAGAAGTCACTTCGCGCAGACGCGCTTATCTTATTATTACTCAAAAGTGGTATTTATTCAAGAGACCATATGCGTTTTAAGTACAGCAAATTCAAAAGAATTTTAATCTTTATCGGAGAGTAAATGAAAATGCGCCCTTGGAAACTTCCTTCTCCTCTTTGAAGCGAATTTCAACCCTTTAGTTAGACTGTGACTAAGTGAATGCCAATATTTTTGGTAACAAAAAGAGGTCATTCTACCTACCAATTAAGGAAATTAGCAATGGAAAAGTATTTAGTGCGAGTAGGTAAATGCATTTCTTAAGTACAAACTAAATAAATAATAAATTTACTAAATACACTTTTGAAAAAATGGACGAATTTTGCCCCTTTATAGCTATCAAAAATGCAACCATGAATTTTTTAGGTTGCAATGGATGGAAACATTCGGCTCCTTGTACAATCACTTTCTTTGGTAATGCTAGAGAATAATTATAACCCTCTGAAAGCAATTAGAAATTGAAACCCGTTTAATGCTAGATAAATTTGTTTATACTGGAAGCCTGGAAGGGCTGGTTTCGTCTCCTTAGACCTTTTGCGAAAAGAAGCCTCATTTGCGGCCCAATTTTATTTTTGCCCACGCAGCGCAAGGTATGAATTAAACGTTTGAACCTTGCATCGGGCTTCGTATTTATGTAGATACAAATTTCAAAAGTAAGCGGCGAACTCAAAAATTTCAATTTTTTGGAAAATAATTCAATATACTACATGTCAGAAAAATATGCGGTCATTTTGAAATAATTTTGTCTGTATTTTACTTCGCACGGCCACAAGTGTTGATTGATGACGTGGCGGCTCGCGTTATCTCTAACACATGTTGCAGGTAACAAAAGCGAGTTTCTAATTTTATTCCAATTTAATATTCCGATTGATAAGAATTTTATAAAATTAGGTACTTGCGAGGTGTATTTACTATTTAGTTTCCACATTTGATCAATAATTACTTTTTTTATTTCTGAGTTACCCAAAAATTTGGAACACTTTTTGACAATGAACGCCAATTTCTGGGTATTACGGACCTGAGACTCCGATTTAAAAAACCAAATCTATTAAAGCAGCAACCATAATTTTGCATTTTCGGTTGCTGATGGTGGATACAAATTAGTTACAAGCATCAAAGGTAATTTTTGTATGGTAGCTGCATTTAATAACTTTGATTTTTACATTGCGCCCTAATTAAACTTAATAAAAACATACCCTTAGCCTTAAATTCATGGTCTCGCCTAATTTCCATTGGAAGGGTACGATGCGCTTTCACTTCACTAGCCCATTGTTCGAACGTTGGACCAATACTGCCTAATGGACATTGGGAATTTTGAGGTAGACGAATTAAAAGTCGCGGATTTGATAAGTACCTTACCGGAACACTTTGATAGAGGTCAATTTCGCGCGCAGACGCGCTTATCTAATTCTTACTGAAAAGTGGAATTTATTCACAAATATAAAAACCATATGCGTTTTAAATAGGTACAGCAAATCCAAATGTGTAGGTACAACCATTCAATTTTGATCTTTAGCGGGAGTAAACCGAAATGCTCCCTCGGGGACATTCTTCTTCCTTTTCAAATTGTAAGGGAGGATTTCAACCCTTTACACAGACGCGCTTATCTAATTCTTACTGAAAAGTGGAATTTATTCACAAATATAAAAACCATATGCGTTTTAAATAGGTACAGCAAATCCAAATGTGTAGGTACAACCATTCAATTTTGATCTTTAGCGGGAGTAAACCGAAATGCTCCCTCGGGGACATTCTTCTTCCTTTTCAAATTGTAAGGGAGGATTTCAACCCTTTACACTGTGGTTGAGTAAATGTCTTTTTGGCAACAATTACCAAAAACGACTGTATTTTTGCGTGATTTTGCCAATTTTTTTTGGAGCACTGATCGTTACCCTTTGAAAGCCATTAAAAATTGAAACTTTTTTGTGGGAGTTGCAATTGAATTTTTTATGCTGGCAAGGGCCAATTTCACCCAGTTATACGGTCGCAGACTGAATTTGTGCATAGTAATCTTCACAAAAAAATGACAAATTTCACCCCCTTATATACACTAGAGATAGAATTAGAAATTGAAATCTTTTTTGCGGGTGTAGTAAATGACTCTTTAAGTTTCAAGGGCGAATTTCGCGGCCTTATACGGTAGCGGACTGAATGCCCATTTCTCTTGCAACACCATAGATACAGGGTCCTGCAACAGTGCGTCGTTCTTCCCTAGCTCATAGCTGGTAAAAAATAAACAAAAAACCTTTCGTCCAATGTCACCTATATGCTGCGCCTCTACAGAAATTATTTTTGAATGTACAGGGTGTCCCATTTTTGCGGTCAATACGCGGCGGATTGTTTAAATCCAACACCCTTTATATTTTTGGCTGATTCGATGTCATTTTTTAACCTCTGCATGAAAACCTATTCACTATTTGGTTTTTTGTCAATGTTGCCAAATTTTTAATTTTTTTCTGAATAATTCTTTGCCACCCCCACCTTGATAAATCGTAGCGCCCTGGAAAATGCCCACGTGCAGTCAATTATTGTAGCGTGTATTTCTTATGAACATGATCTAACCGATAATGTTAATCAGCCTTAAGAAACATACGCTATAATTAGTCGCTCTGCGAGTGGACCGTTATGTGACCGATAACGTGAACCGGCCTTTCTTCCTCTTTATATGGAAGATTTTCCCTGTGGATTTTCCTTTGCTGTAATGTACCTAAACTGGAATTTCCTTGGAAACAGACATACAATTGTCATAAATGTCTGTCAGGTTGTGAAATGTCTCCTAATGTAAAAAAAACTAAAGAACAAGTGGTAAGTTTTTAGTTTAGTGCACTCATTTCTTCACTCTCGCCTACTCATCTATCCTTTGAGACTTTTCATTACTCATAATTTGATATATTCAATGCGGATTACGAGTGTCACGTTAAAATTATCTCTTCCAGGAATTCCCTTGGACAGCTCCAATTGACGCTCGATTTCCAAACGCCAACATCACTGGATACTGCTTTAGAATGTTTTACGATTACCAACGGTGTATAGGATTATTTAGTGTAGATCACGAGCCCTGCGAGTACTTTAAGAAGGTATACACGTCACTATGCCCGCACGCGTGGGTAAAGCGATGGAACGACCAAATCGAGGACCACACGTTTCCGCGCGATTTACCTGCGGATCTGAAAAAGAAACTGAACGGCTAGTGTACAAATTATCGTTTTATTATCCTTTTTAACCATACAAAAATATACAAGAGATTTGAATGTCGTTTCAAATAAAAAAAAAAACTGGTTCTTAAGAGCGAAAAAAAAGACAAACTAAAACCTAAAATATGGCAACAAGTAAAGTAGAAAATAATTACTTGAGATCATGCACAGTGCATATATTGACATTCTTTATCCTTACATGTTCCTAAAACGTCATACGGACACAGTGTCATTAACGGGTCGTTAATACCGATTCCATCTCTGTAAATAAACAATTTGAAAACGTCTGAGCTTGGTGATGGTGGCCTAAGTGTGTGGTATTGTTTACAAAATAAATTTATGTACTAATCCGGTCAAGTCCAATGAGCAATTTGTCTGTCCGTGCAAGTGATGCGACTTCATTAAGACAACAATAGTCATTTACACAAGTCAGGAAAATGACACATTACTGGCGAGGAAATATTGAAGTGCGAGAGTACTTTAATTTCCGAGTCAGTAATGTCATTTTACTGACGAGTTTTGTATTAAATTTTACCGGAAATCGTATTTTAATATAACATTTCAATTTGTATATAAAACTTTTGATTAATGTAAATCTGTCACTTGTCAGTGATGACAGGAGTCATTATAGACATTAGAAATGTCACAAATGCGGCCGGTAAAGTGACAGGTGCGGCCAGTAAAGTGACAAGCGGCAGCAAACGTAGTCTGCTCTGCCTCTGTCATGGAAACTCAAATTTCCTGACAGAAAGTAAGCATGAAAATGAAGGTTTCAGGACGATTTCGGGTAAAATGTTGTCAAAATGATCTGCAATTTATCTAAGTATTTAGATAAGTCTATAGCCAAATCAAAATTATGTTTGTAAACAACTTTAACACACTTAAAAATCAAACACAAGTCGAAACGCGTTTAATTTACTTTGTGCACCTGTTATC